ATGGAATCGGTTATGAGGGATAGGATTATAGATCACTTGACTGTTAACCATCTTCTATCAGACTGTCACCATGGCTTTATTGCTGGCAGATCATGCACCACTAATCTCCTGTCTACCTTGAATAATTGGACTCGCCTGCTGGACGAAAGGGTGCCAGTGGATGCACTGTACCTCGATTTTGCCAAGGCATTTGATAGTGTTCCGCATGAGCGACCGTTGCGTAAAGTGAATTCTTTGGGAGTAGAGGGATATGTACTCCAATGGATCAGGAATTTCCTAGTAGGCAGAAGACAACGTGTCAGCATTAACGGAACCGTATCAGACTGGGTAACTGTGCGCAGTGGCGTACCGCAAGGAAGCGTTCTTGGACCTATTTTATTCGTCGCTTTTATAAACGATCTACCAGAAGTAGTGTCAAGCGTGTGCTCGATGTATGCCGATGACACAAAAGTTTATAATACAGTTAAGGATGCGTCAAATAAAATGCAACTGCAAAATGATCTTGATAGTTAAGTTGGCTGGGCTGATGCGTGGCAGCTGCGTTTCAATGCTGACAAGTGTAAAGTACTTCACCTCGGCAAGAACAATGAACAGCAAGCTTGCAGCATGAGAACACACGGTTGCAACGAGAAGGTTATGATTGAGAAGTCTTGCGTGGAAAAAGATCTTGGAGTTTGTGTCGACAAGGAGCTAAAATTTTATAGGCATATTGAAACGCAAGTTAATACATCCAATAAACTGCTTGGGCTGATCAGACGCTCCTACGAGTACCTAGATATATAAATGATGAAGCTGTTGTTCACCTCTGTCGTGCGCCCGAACCTAGAGTTTGGAAACGTTGTGTGGTCACCGAGACTTGAAAAGGAAAAAAATTTAGTTGAGAGTGTTCAAAGACGCGCAACAAGGATAATCCCAGGATTAAAGGGCAAGTCTTATGAAGAAAGACTGAAGATTATGAAGCTTCCCAGTCTCCGTTATCGTCGCCTGCGTGGTGACCTCATTGAAGTATACAAGTATACTCATGGTTTGTACAAGGTCCCAAAAGGATTACTAGAATTTGAAACAAGAACCAACACCAGGGGCCACAGCTATATACTAAATAAACTGCGGTGCAACTTATCCACGCTACAACATTTCTTCTCGCTTCGAGTCACTGACATGTGGAACAGCCTCCCTGAAGATATTGTTGACGCTCCGAGTATGAACACGTTCAAGAACAGACTAGACAAGGCCATGCATGAGCATATGTTTAGTCTTAAAATGCCTCGTACCCTACGGAACAACTGATACATAGAAGCTATTTTAAATCTACCGCCCGTTGAAAAGATCTGATCAAAAGGCCAGTCTAGTCAAGAAAAGTACAAGAAACGGCGACAGGCCTATCCAGGCCTATTCTTTAAATGCCGAAGATACTATACTACTTTTCACAGACAACGCCGGTGTCTCCAATGTTCCACATGCACAATGAATTTCTTATTTTATTTGTAAATATTTAGAAAATAAATTAATTTTATTAATGTGTAAAAATTAATTTTTTGAATTATTAATTCTGTTAATTGATTCAAACATTGTCTCCGTCTCTACGCAAGTGTGTAAAATTTCAGATCGATTAGACCGGTAGAAGTGTGTTAAATATTGGATATAAGATTTGTAGCAGACCGATTAGGCCGGCAGAAGTGTGTTAAATATTGATTATAAGATTTGTAGCAGGCAAACAAACAAAGAAAGAATGAAGTTAAAGAGAAGTGCTGTAAAAATTAACTCTCGGAAGTAGAACATAAAATGTTCTCCTTTGCCACCATGCCGGCTGCATAAAAATCTTTTAGTGGTATAAAAAATGTCACGTTCATGTTGAATTCGGCAGTTAAACAGAGTTCAATTATTAGGTATTCACTACAACCCTAAATAACTAAAACATTCAGTTGTCAACAACATTTAGGTTCATGTCAACAACCTAAAAAAAACAGAAACATATGTACTAAAACATTCGGCAGTCACATATGCCTTCCCGCCCTCCCCACTCTCAGCCCTCTACTCCTCAAGACCCCACTCATATTATGCTACTCCTCTCCCTCAGGCCTCAACCTCCACACATTCTCCAAATATCTCTTCACACTCTCAAACATAATTACAGTTGCTCCTTCAGACATTGCCACAATCATTGTCATCCACTCTTGGCTTATTCTCTGATACCGCACTTCCTTAATCTCACCTCCCTCATTCACAATCACCTCCATGATGGACTGTCGCTCTCTCATACGTCCCACATTCCATCATCAAGTGCTGCACAGTTTCCTACTTATCCTTTAAACACATAAAATTTTTGTCTTCCCTCCTCTCATTCCAACTATGTAGGGTAAAATGGGGCAGCGCGCCCACTGCGGGTCATGGGCCCATAGCGGGTTTCTCGCTAAGTATGGCAGATATTAGTCAGTGTTCTCTATCGCCGGTCGACAGTTTCACTGGGATGAAGTGTACGGATTTATGTTTTGCTAAGTGTTTGCGTTATTAAGTTATTTGTGAATAACTTTTAGCCCAGATAAAAATTTTTTGCTGCTAAATAAAACTGTTTTCGATTACTGTAGATGAAGCTTTTGAAATTACTGTGAATTATATTTTGAAAGTAATATTTATAGGGATAATTTTGAGATCAAGTTTAGACTATTAGCTTTTAAAATAAAATGTTGACACGGTATAAATTGAAATGATACCTAGTGGGGGCAACGANGAATAGAATAGAATAGAATAGAAGTGTCGGCGTTGAAGAAATAGGCCCATGGCCTGTTGCCGATTCTTGAACTTTTCGTGACTTGATTCACAAGGGATCCGGCATTTGGAACCCAATGTTTCCATAGCTGACGATTGATTGAAATAGCTTCTGGACTTATTGCCTGGTCCGTAATTTGCTAGGCATTTTAAGACTGAAGATATGCTCCTGCATAGCTTCGTCTAGTCTGTTTTTGAAGATGTTCATACTCGGAGCGTCAACGATGCTATCAGGGAGGCTGTTCCACATGTCGGTGACTCGAATCGAAAAGAATGGTTGTCGCATGGATGTGTTTATAGCCGTGGCCCCTGGTGTTGGTTCTTGTTTCAAATTCTAGTAATCCTTCTGGGACCTTGTATAATATTACTTATATACTTCAATACTTATACAATACTTTATACTTCAATACTTTATATACGATACGTATACTTATATACTTCAATGAGGTCCCCACGCAGACGTCGATAACTGAGGCTTGGAAGCTGCATAATTTTTAATCTTTCCTCATAGGACTTGCCTTTCAAGCCCGGAAGTTCGGAACTATCCTTGTTACGCGTCTTTGAACACTCTCTACTCATGCCCAATGCGTAGCCGGGCAATAGCACATTGTATATGGTCTAGGCAAGGAGCTGTAATCAATGTAGGTAATGCTATCATCAAGGTTGTATCTAAATCTACCACAACCAGAGTTAGCTATTTGTTTTTGCCAGTATCCATGCCAATGTCTGCTGAAGGCCAGTGTTAACACTAGAAAAGACTCCTCAAAAGAGAATATAGAGCATGAGGACCTGTCAGCACTGTGTGCTAGGTTTGCAATCCGATCAGCAACCTCATTTCCAGCAACCCCACTATGACCCCTCACCCAGCAAAAGGCAACTGTTCACGCCTCTCTGGAGAAGAAGTGAGTGTATCCTGAAAACTATTGCGGAGTAGTTTGGTCGTCGGGTGTTGAGGATCAAGTGCAGAAATGATTTGGAGTCAGTAAAAATCACAACATGGTGGTTTTTCAATTCAACATGATTGAGAGCCATTTCCAGAGCCTTGAATATGGCAAACAACTCTGCATCCATTACTGAGTGACCTGGGGACAGCAGCCAGGCAGTGGCAGCTGAAAGCTGGGGAACGTAGACACCAGCAGAAACAGATCCAGCAAACGCACATGGTTGTTAGGTGTTAAAAAATTCATTTAGGTTCGTTTTCGTATGTTATAACTGTTGAAAGTATATTAGAACGGAGGCTATGAAGTCAAATGTATTACTTAAATAATAATTTCGTCAGCGCTTCAGAGTCAGAAGAATAGATATATGGACAGAAAAATTAATTGAATGACAGGAATATTTTTATATTTGAATATTTAAGGCGACTGAAGACGATCAGGTATAAAAGAAAAATGCCGAAAGTTTATCGTTAACCCATATGATTCTGAAATGAAAATTTGCTTGCATATGAATAATTATTCAATTAAAACTGATGTCAGGGCTGTGAATTTCCGCGGCTCGTCCCTTCACTAATACTACCTTTATCACCAACCTCTTCGTGCCCCACTAACAAAAGACCAAAGTCACCATTGCCGGTATATGGATCAAAAGAAGCCTGACTTGTGTTTCAAACTTATCACGAGAGTTGATCTGATTTATTCCTTAATGACTTTTTTCTTTTGAAATTGAGAAGGGAATATGTTACATACCCGATTGTCCGAACAATTTGTCGCCACAAATTAGATAATAAGTGGAGAGCTATTAATTTCACGCTCATACTTAATTAATTTATTTATTGACAATTAATTTCAAATTTAGCGCTCATATTAACTATCAACTTGGAGGCACACTCTAAGCTATATTTCAAATGGAATCAATCAGTTTCTTCTCTATTTAGGGGCACGCGAGAAAATTGAAAATTAGATTTAAAACGAAATGCTAAAAATGTCATATCACTTCGCCTTTTGAATTAGGCCAATGCCGGTGTGGAACTCAGACTAATGCGAGGAATAGAAGTTTTTGAGAACGTGTCAATTGGCCCGTCGATCAATGTCGCACTAAGTAATTCTGAAGTTTATTCATGAATGAACATTCAACTGATCAACTTAGCATCCACACCCCAGTGCTATCAGTGCTAGCACAGTCCTAGCACAGTAAAAGTCTCTTTCCAAACGAGTTTTCCTTGGGATAATCTTATATAAGGAAATTACAAGCATCTCTGATTGTAATTTGGTTTTTAAAATAAAACGAGAAAAGAACTTGCAAGTCATTTTTCACACGCTTCAAAAACACAACACCATTCATTTCATGTTCCTTATGGTCTCCAGTTCACATGACGTTCCAGCCGGTAGATGAAACTCCATCAGCTGTAAAATAATGAAATTAGTCAATTTATTCCGGCCGACTGAAACATCTGTTTAGGCTTACAAAACAGGTATAATGTGGACAATACACAAGTGACTGGAGACATGAAAATTATGGGCATATATCTGGGTAGGATGGCAGTTTACAAAAGAACCCGACACCTAACCTCATTGGGCTAGAATTAATTGTAAAATAGTCGTTAACTCTGCAGGTGCCACACTATGAAGGCGCTTATTTCATATTTAGCTCGAATGCCTCACAATTCTTGCCTTGAATACTTTTCAACATTCAGAGCACTTCTTAAACATGATTACGAATTCTCTTACGAATAATCCATATCTCACAATTAACATCGTAAAGAACGCACCCGTTGTTCTCAACTCCTACCTGCAGTTGGGTATGGCCTCGGTGGTGAAAGTAGCATTGTAGCCTCTGTGTGTGTTTTCCTTGCCAAATTTAGTGTAGTCTCCGTTCATGTAATGAAGGATGAGCTCCGACTTGTCACTTTTGAATGCTGTTCCTTTCTCAATTTCTTCACCACAAAATCTGAAAAATTCACATTAAGTTTAATACAGATTCCATAATACAGACCAAACAATTCATTTCTATTCCTTTAAATTGCACTACTTTGGAAATTTTCTCATTGGTTAGTATGGGAAATTTTTCATGCTTTAATCTTGATCAATTGATGGAAAATCATGATATTTTGATATTACACTGTAACAGGCAATAAGTACATGAATTAATGAATGAATTTACTTCATTTATACGTGAATAACCATTACAAAACAAGCCATACATTTTGCCTTCCGGCACCGAGACGTCGGAGCGGATCTCGAGGAAGCTGAAGATGCAGCGCTTATGTCTGGCGCTGCGAGGCTCGATACCGAAGTCGTCGAACTTCAGCACCGCTCGCTGGCACTCCGGGGCACGGAAAACCTGCGTGTACTGCGTTTCTGTGGAAATTATATTACATAAGAGTTATCATACTTAGTTCGTACAGTGGCTCGATAGAACAAAAACCGAATAGAAATAATCATTTTTAGGCCATACAGTTGCTCGATAAAAGAAAGACAGAATAGAAATAATCATTTTTGGCCATGCAGTTGCTCGATAAAACAGAGATAGAATAGAAATAATCAGTTTTAGGCCATACAGTTGCTCGATAGAACAAAGCCAGAATAGAAATAATCATTTTTAGGCCATACAGTTGCTCGATAGAACAAAGACAGCATAAAAATGATCATTTATAAGATTTATTTATTTTATTCAAAAGAGAGATAGAAAGTTAACAGTAACAAATTTTTCTGCAACGCCGTAATTGTTATTCAACTGTTCATAGGTTGGCTCCAGTTGGATACCTCAAAAATTTAGAATGCGATAGACTTCAGACATCAAAAGAACATGATTACGTGAAATCGCTACAGAATAATCGCCTGGGCTACTAAAATGATATTTAGACAGTCTAAAAGTTATTTCAATACATCGTTTCGGTCACGTCTGCATCTTGTCACGCAGATCAGCCCGCGAGTAAGATGAGCGGGTCGTTTTATACGACATGTGAAAGGTAGCACAATAATCAGATACCCAATTTTATTTTACACTATCTGATTCATTATAATTGACCTTGCTGGAAATGAATTTGAGTTTACTGACACAAGATTGACTGAAAATATGTAACGACGTCTCATTAATTAAGTTCATCATCATGCTACCAACCCACTTGGTATTCTCTAGTCGAATAAATGCTGAAACAATCTCCGTTTAGGGAAAACAGCCGCAACGTCACTTTTACGAGGCCATTTTGACGTAAAATGCAACATTGAATGTTACTCATTACTCATACTACATTGATAACTCATAACTCATTAAATTGAAGCACCATGAAAATTAGTCCTTTGCAAAGAATTACATACTGGTCGATGGCACGTTGTCGGGGTAGCCAGGAGAGACGACCACGGCACCAGAGGTTGAGATGACGGAAGTGTACGGGGAGAACTGCTTTATCAGAGCATCTGTGTTGAAATGCAAGTGTTCAGTAACGATAATGTTGACGATAGATCGCAGTTGTTAATAAGGTAAAGCGTATATCGTGTCTGTATCAGATCAGAATGTTGAAAGTCAAGAATATATTTTCATGGTCACTTGATAATCTATGTACTCTGTAACATCCAAACATATGAAGGAAGTTAAAAATATCCCAGCAGTGTCCTGTCAAGACATTGGAAATGACCTCGAGTCACAGCAGAGAATATTAAATTGAAACGGGAAAATACGAGTGTCACTGTGAAAGAAATAACGAATATAATGATTATCAATTTCACTGAATCATTAACACAAATTCCTAGCTAAAGAAAGGTGAAGAGGACAGCAAGCAAATTGCGTAAGAGAAGTAATCCCATCTAATATTCACTAATTTTTTTAATATAATTGTTTATTTTATTTTCTGGTTGCGTAATATGGCCACCGCTGTTGACCAGAATGACTATCATACAAAGTCCACCTAATGAAAATGTCTCACAGACTAAACAGTTTAAAAAGTATAGGTACCAGCAACCACCTAAACTGTGGTACGCGCACCCTGGTGGTACATGAGGGCCTTTCAAGCACTTTTTTAAAATGTACTTTTATTTGAATTATTTTTATTTTATAGTATTTTTTATTTAAAATTTAAAAATAATGCTCATAAAGGAATACAAAATGATCTGGCAACGGTCGGGAACAATCAACATACGCTACATTACAATATGCTTTTACTGTTAACTTAAAATGAGAGCTGAATGCGTTTGGAGTGTTTTCTTGAGGGCTAGATATTAGCCCACCAACTTGTATATACTTAAACTAACACAAAATATTATTAGCCAATATGTAACATTGGTTGCAGGGGCGACTGGATCAGAACCTTTGACTGATACTCGATCACAATAATTTTGAGGACTATCGTGTTACATTTTTGCTATCATTTGTGGATCGCCATCATCAATCTCTATGAAGTTCCCTGCCTCACCTCTATAGCTCATGATCGTCATGCATCATCAATCTCTGT